AAAACTTATTAAGACGTCAAAAAAACATCATATAAACTCATTATAACGCCTTTATATAAGACACTTTATTTTGGTTTTATAAACTAGGTCCTAAAAAAAGGTCTATTAGAATGCTTAGAAATTGAGAGCGTCCTATGAACCCGATTTTGTTGTAGTTTAGTTATGATAAAGATCTACACAATTAGATCACCTACAACAACTATGTTATTTTAGAAAATTTGAAGATCTGAAAAAGTTACTGCAACAGCTACGCTAAACTCTCTTTTAAGATAAAGAATAAAGAAATCTCCAAAATTGGAAGAAAAAGATAAAATATAGCATACATGTTTCAGATGTTCCAACAACTATGTTAAAATAGAGATTAACAATTTTTTTGCTCCAATAATTATGCTAAGGGACCGTTTACTAAACGCTTACCCGGTAGGTGCTTACCGGACAATTTTCCTCACCGGACGAACATGGCAAGGCCCAAGAATCTTATCTGGTAAAAACGAGGATAAAGATAGAGAGTCTTACCCGGTAAGTGAGGGTGACGACTCTTACTCGGGTAAGCGCTTACCATATATATTGTTGCACACGATACCATTTTGATATACTACAATCTTACCTAGAAAATTAATTATAGTGTTGACTCCTAACAATAAGCGCTTACCGGGTAAGTATTTAGCTAAACAGCCCCTAAAATCTGGTAAATTTAAGAAAAGAAGAATGAAAACGTGGAAATCTTCAGATTTAGAGAAAATTTATATAGAAAAAATAATAATATTTAAATTCCTTTTCATCAATTAAAGTACTGAAAACAAATGTTTAAAAAAGAGAAATACTTTTTTTATTAAATGTATTAAATATCATAATAGTTTAATTATAACCCCACTTTTACACTCATGTATACGATTATCTTCATTTCCAACATATTTTTAAAAATAGAGAAAATAGAGGATTTTAGGCAATTTTATGCTCCAAAACTAAGGATGGTGATTTGTTCCGATCCGGTTGGGAACCTGGCTCACCCGACCCGAACAAGGACGGATATTCCCTTCTAAAACGGGTCCCAAGGCCAGGGATCCCCAGTAGACTCAAAATCGGGGATGGGGGTTGTTATTCAAACCAGGGTTGGAGACAAGGTCAGGGATCCTCGATAGACTCAAACTAATGAATATTATTCACTGGGTTTGATCGGGAACGAAATGTTAATCCCCCTACCCGTCGGAGACCATGGTCGGGGGCTGTTACTAAAAACCGGGGCTGCAGATTACAAAACCCGTCTCATCCCGCCCTGTTGCCATACCTATCCAAAACATTCTCTAAAATGGAAAAAATAAGAAAAAGAGTGTAAATTTCTCCAAATATGATGAACTCTCAAAAACCGATTACCATAACAGAGAAGTTACTTTTTATTATATTCCACCATTAAAAAACACTGAAATGAATTGCTTAGGAAAATAAAGAATCTGTCAGAATTAAAGAATTAAATGCAAATAATTTTAAAGATTTTAAAATTTGATTTTTCATTTTACAGAACTTTTAAAAAAATCTATTAAAAATACTCTTAACAATAACCCTCCCTTTATTTTCTTAAATCACAAATCATAAATTATTTCATTTGTTTTTATATTTATTTTAAAATATATTTAAGAAATAAAAATATAAACGTCATAAAATGAAAATGAAAGCACACAGACTTTGAATCGTTACAATTGTAATTGCGGTGTCTATGTCATATAAAACTCAGTATCTTAAGTTTATATGTGAACACTGTTGCTCCGTATAAGTTTAGCTGTAGAGTCTCGATTTAGACCGAATTTTTGTTTCTATTTTAGTTTTTTTGGTTGATTTTGTTTCCCCTGATTCGTATAAAAAATAAATAGATTACCGATAAACTTAAACATAAATTAACCATTTCATTAATTAAATAAGCTAAATTATGCAAAGATCGTAATTATGGAGACAAAATATGGATGAAAAAAATATATCATGTAAAACAATACCTTAAGATAACAGTTCTCACGATTATCATCGTATACGTGGTTCAATGTTGATTACGTGTATATATAGGGGGTCTAAACACAAACCATCTAACTAATACAAATTACCGATTGAATGAAATATTTATGAAAACTATACGGGTACTCGCACAATGCAGCGAGATACATCTCGATTTTAAAGTTTCGTTTTTTTTTGTCTCAACCGATGTTATATTATGATTTTATGTAGTTTTGGGAGAGCGATAATGTTTTTATTTTTGAATAATATATATATATATATATATATATATATGTGTGTGTGTGTGTGTGTGTATGAAGATATCATAAAAATTGAATTTATTTTTGAGATTATAATATAATTTTTTAAAATTATATTAAAATTTCTCAATTTTTTTTTTGTGTATTTCTTTAATTCATTTTTTTTATTTTTGGTTTAATTATATAATTTTTTATAAAGACAATAATTAAGTACTTTGTTATAAGTCGATGATTATCCTAATTATATTTTAGATTTTTTATATTTAAATCTTGAATTTTAAGTAAGATGCATTAATAAACAATAGTTCATACATAAAAAATATTTTTTAAAAGTTTTTGTCAAACGCTTTATAATATAGTTTAAATAATGAGAGTGTATTTATTATAAAATAAATATTTATGCAAGATGATTAGAGTTCATTTATTATGACGAACGCTTTAGAACAAGAAACAATCGAAATAGTTATGAATCCAAATATTCATTAGACTAAATGAACAGTTGAGATTGATTTGTGTTAATTACAGAGTTTGTATGTGAAAATCCCTCTACGTATATGTATACAGAGCTTTAATCATTTGAGAACTTCAAATTTTGTAAGATTCGTGAGAACTTTTACTTTAAGGTTTTGTTTTAGATGATTTTTTTCATCTGAATATAATATTTAATATTGTTTTACAATATGTATGTTTCATATGTATTCGGTTTACAATGTGATATTATTTTACATGTATTTTTTGTTTTACAAATACATCAAAAGTTTCATATTGTGAACCGAGTGCATGTGAAACAAATATATGTTAATCACTATATTGAATTCTAGTCATAGAAGAAAAAAAATATATAAAATAGCACATTGATACGCTAATTCTTAAAAATCTCCCGAATTAATGAGTTCTCAAAACAAAGTCTCTGTGTATAGATACATATACACATAGGTTCATTTGAGAAGTGGTACATATTTGAGAAGTAGAGAAGTGATCCTAACCCTTCATATGGTCGAGATTTGTGGTTTTGAATGTAAAACACCAAATTATTTTTCGCATGGTATGCTGAAGATAGATGGGTAGTTTTATAATTTTTAAAAATAGGCAGCAAAAAACAAGTGCATATGTAAACCCGTGTGATTCACATATGAACTACAGGTTCATATATGTACTTGTTTGCCGCATATTTATAAAAGTTACGAAATTACCCCTCTATTTTTCGCTTGACCAATCAAAGCCGCAATTATTGACCGTATGAAGGGCTATGATAACAAAAAGAAACGTTTGTTGTTTTGGTCTTGTCTTGTCCAACCTCATTATCCAGTTTTATTTTAGGGAAATTAATAGTAATAGTCATTTTAAGGCTTTGAATGCATCTCTTAGCCATTTCTCTCCCCAATTTTCAAAAACATCACCACCTCCGCAAGTGACACATTCACAATTTACAGAGAAGTCAAAATGTAAAAAAAAAAATAAGTTACTGAACCAAGTGCACAAATGCAGTGACCAAATCTGTAAATTAGATAAAGGTTCCCAAGTGGCAGTTCCGCCACTTTCGGAATTGTTATGACTAATTTACAGATTTGGTCCCTGCACTAAACCTGATTCAAAAACTTTTTTTTACAATTTAACCCTTTAAAAGTTGAAGAGTTGCTATTTACGACATTTTTAAAACATTGAAAGAGAAAATAACTAACAGATAAATACAAAATCTAAAAATAACCATTTTAATCAATTTCCCTTTATTTTACCCCATCAAAAGGTATTGAGACAAAAGTAATTGTATTAGCAGGTTGATACTTAGGGGGCATTTGGTTCGTCGGAATCTGATGGAATTGGAATGGTCAATTTTGTTAACCAAATTCCATTCCAATGTTTGGTTACTTATGGAATGAAATTGAATTCCAAAGATTCCCAAATTTGAGGAATTCACTATTCCTTATCAAATCTGATGGAATTGAATTTCATTTCATCCAAAAGTGTTTAAATGACACAAATACCCTTATGCTCCTATAAATGGTTTGGTTTATGGTTGGTTATTTTTTTTTTACTTTTTATGTTTATATATATTTCAATAAATGGTAAACATTTTTTTTCTTCAATAAATGTTAATTTTATATTGTTATTTGTATTTAAAAAAATTAAATTAAAAAAAATCGAAATAAGGGTATTTTTGTCCTTTTTCATCATTCCATTCCAATTTTGTTGCAAACCAAATAGACAGATTCCAATTCATTAGACAGATTAAATTTCATTCCTACCCACCAAACACTTGGTCAAACCTGATAACATTCAATTCCAATTACTTCCAGATTCCAATTCTTTTGACAAATTTCATTTATTCAGAAATCAACCAAACGCGTCCTTAGGATTTTGGAGTTGGACCAATTTAGCAAAAGACAAAAATTAATAAGCAAACTTCCAAAAATAACCTCAACTAAAAACTACCACGACACCACCCTCCTATTCCCATTTGCCTTCCATCTCCATTAATTCCATTAGTCTGATTGATACCCTCAACTGCTACCCTCACCATTTTTAAATTCCATAAACCCTTCTTAAACATCTCTCTTTCTCTCTCTAACCATATATCTATACATCTATATCTATATATCTATATATCTATATCTATATCTCTATATCTATATGTATATATAGTCTGCCACGAACACCAAGCTTTTTCAGAACTTACACAGACAGAAGAAGCCCACAAAAAAGAGGGTTTTTTACAGTATTCTGTTCAAAGGTTTTCAAGAAAATGGAGACCCAAAAACTAGAAATCAAGAAAGATTTTGATGATGAAAAAAGGGTCTCTTTTTCTGGGAAAATGGGAGCTCCATTCTTCAGTTGGCCATGGCAGAATTTAGGGAGTTACAAGGTATGATTTTCTTGAAATCTTGGGTTCTTTTTTTTTATTAACCTGGATATCCAACCAGCCATGCGAGCCGACTAATCCCAGGGCGACCAAATAGTCCGGAGTCACCGCATTTGAACAGCCAATTTTTATTCCTCCTTGGATTTCATCTTGGGACCTCCTGGTATTTTTGACCTTTGGAGCCAAGCTCAAATCAAAGGGTGGTGCCTATTTTGTGATTCTTGAACTGATTTTATGTGGGTTTTTTTTGGTAGATTTTGTATCTGTTTTTGGTGTTCTGAAATGGGTTCAAATGTGTGTTTCTTGAATCAGTACATCTTATTTGGGCCATTTCTTGGTGAGTTCATGTATTCAAGAATGTACGGAAAGAGGCAAAGTGAGTATGATTGGTGTTTGCATATTCTAATCTTGTCTTCATTAAGAGGGATTGTACACCAGATATGGAATTCATGTGATAACATGTTTTTCATTAATCGAAATCATCGAATATCTCAAAACGGGATCGATTTCGATCAAATCGACAACGAATGGCATTGGTAATTCCTCTTTTCCCTTTGTATTTGATGCATTGTATGCGTTTTTTACGTGATAAAATGGATCAAAATGTAACAAAGTTTGGTTTAGTTCTCTTATTTCATGCAACGGATAATGTTTTTCTCAATCAATTCACCGTAAAAAATTCAAAATTTTCATTAACCCTTTTCGTAAATCTTTCGGGTACCCACGTCATCAAATGTTACAAAATCTGTTTGCAGGTTACCGGTCAAAATGGGTATAAAATAGAAAATTTTGAAACTTCGTTACATCGAATTGAGAAAAGAAACTAAAAAGTAGAACTAAGACAATTTCGTTGCATTTTGATGCATATTGCCGGTTTTATGAGTTTTTAATGAAATTTGTGCATCTTTTCCGTGCAAAATGCGATAAAGTTTCGTTTAGTTCCTATTTAATGTAATGGAGATTTTTTTTTCCTCAAAGTTAAGTAACGGAAGTTTCGAAATTTCTTTTTTAACGTAACAAAGTTCAAAATTTTCAGATTTTTTTTACCGTAGTTGTCAAATTTATCGCCTATTTCACCTTTAACCCTTTCGTAAATGGATACCCATTTTGACTAGGAAACGAAGGCAAACTTCGTTGCATTTTGTGCATATTTGCATGCACAAAATGTAACAAAGATTCGTTTTCTAAATCAATTTACCAAAGTTTCAAAATTTCCTTTTTAACGTAACAAAGTTTAGGTTTGGGTTCCGGTGAGAAGGAGGGTTAAGGTGAGAAGTGTAAGAAGTGATCTCCACACCCTCGGATGCATATTAGGATAAGATGCACCAAAATGCACCGTATTAATCCCCGTATCAAGCGCGATTCATGGGTGGGTTTGAGATTAAAGGTGATCAAGGATCCGATCCCTTCTCACACTTCTCACCTTCTCACACGTTCGTTCGCCACAAAGTTCAACATTTTCATTTTTTTTTACCGTAGACGCCAAATTTATCGCCTACTCTTAAACCCATTTCTTAAATCTTTCATAAACGAGTATCCACGTGATTAAATTTTACAAGATCAACAGGTTACCGGTCAAAACGGGTACAAACATGGAAATTTTAGAACTTTGTTACATCGATCGAGAAAAACATTAAACGGGAATCAAGGCAAACTTCATTGCATTTTAATGCATATTACCCCGTTTTTTAAGGGTTTTTGATGACATTTACGCGTCTTTTAATCACAGGGACAATTTCATCATACTTCAAGCATTTGTAGCTTCAATACCCTTCTTGATCCATCCTTCAATCGCCAATTTCCCGATTTGGGAAACGACCGGGATCGTGTTGTGTCTACTTTTCCATATCGGGATCTCGGAACCTTTGTATTATTGGCTTCATAGATTGCTGCATTCATCATATTTCTTCCAACAATATCACTGGCTACACCATAGTTCTAAAGTGAATCATCCATTTACAGGTAAATTGAAGATCCATTTTGGTAGCATTTGATGATTTGTGAACACTACAACAAAATTGGTTTTATAGGACGCCTAAAATGTCTAAACGTCATAATAAAATACTTTATACGACTAAAGTTTATAGGAACTGATAGTCCCTAGGTTGATCAATCTTCAATAAAGCTCTATGATTAATCTTGTAAGAACGAGATGAGAGGAAAAGTCAAACAGTCAAAGCTCTTTTATTTCTCAAATGTTTTGCCATTTTTGGTGCAGGTGGGAATGCTACATTTTTGGAGCATTTATTGCTTTGTGTGATTATTGGAGTTCCGATCGTTGCAACTACTTTGATCGGATATGGTTCGATTATCATGTTCTACGGCTACATCTTGGCGTTCGATTTCCTTAGATGTATGGGGCATAGTAACGTTGAAGTTGTTCCGCATCATATCTTCGAAACCTTGCCTACTCTCAAGTATCTTATCTATACACCAACGTAAGTTTTATACTGTTGGAGTCTCACGTCAGCAAAACTTACATTGTTTCTACTTTCTATATATATATATATATATATATATATATATAGGGGAGCGATCAAATGCAAACCACTCAATTTGTACAAACCGTGCAAACCGTATTCAACCAATCATAATTTTTCATTTTGTTCATTTTTTTGTAATTATGAGAGGTTGATTAATCATTTTTATTGTGGAGGGTGTTAATCATAGA